TGGCCTTAGAATTCAAAGCTAGGGTCAGCATATTAAAGAGGATGTCTGACATTTGTCTAGCTGGGCCCAAGTCACCTCATTCAGAACAACTTCTGCCACTTCCTTCCATTGACCATTGACCTGCATATTTCATAACTTTGTTTTACTCTAGAGCTGAGTAAAATTCCATCATGTGGATGTATGGACTTTTCATTATTCATTCATCAGTTAATGACACTGTGGTTATTCCATTTCCTAGCTACTGTGAAGAGGGCATCAGTGAGCATGGATGTGTAAGTATCTCCATTGTAAGACATAGTATGGGGCTATATGCCCAGGAATGGAATACCTGGGTCAGAGAGCAGACCCGTTTTTAGCTTTCTGAGTCAGTGAAACAAACACTGACTAGTTTATACTCCTGCCAACAGCAAATAAGGGCTTCTCACTGCCGGATCCTTGCTGGCATCTGCTATATTTAATAATAGTCGTTCTCTCTAGAGCAGATGTAATCTCAAAGTGGTTTGAATTTTTCCTGATTAAACATTTGCATTTTTTCTTCTAAGAACTCTGTTCAGACCTGCAGCTCATTTTAGAATTGGATTGTTTTCATGATTACATTTTTAGTTCTTTGCATTTTCTAGATATTAATCTTCTGTCAGATGTAAAGTTAGCCAAGATTTTCTCCCATTCAGTCCAGAAGGTTTTTTTTGTTTTTAATTTCATGAGGTCCTATTTTTGTCCTCTTTATTTCCTGAGTAATTGGTATCCTGTCCAGAAATTCCTTATCTATGTCTATGCCTATATATTGAAAGACACTCCATATTTTTTCCCCAGGCAGGTTCAGAGTCTCAGGTCTTATGTTGAGGGTTCTTGATCCATTTGGAGTTGGGTTTTGTACAGTGTGAGAGAAAAGGACACACTTTCATTGCTTTACAGGAGGCACCCAGTCCCCAGGACTATTTGTTCACAATGCTACCTTTCCTCTCGTGAGTATTTGTGGTGTTTTGGACAAAAATAAGGTGGCTGTGTTGTGTGGACTTATATCTAGATTATATAGTCTATGCATTCATTTATATTTCCTTTTACCAATACCATCCTGTTTTTATTACCATAACTCTGTTGTATACCTTGAATCAGTTATGGTGCCATTGCCTTTGTTCAGGATTGCTTTAGGTTTTTGGGTCTTTTGTATTTTTATAAAAATTTTAGGATTCTATTTCTGTGAAGAATAGCATTGGGGTTTTGATTGATGCTGCACTAAATCCATGAATTGCTTTTGGTATGGTGGCCATTTTCATAATATTATCCCCACTAACCCATGAACATGGGAGGTCTTTGCAATTTCTAGTATCTTCTCAATTCCTCTCTTCAGTATCTTAAAGCTTTCATTGTCAAGAGTTCCTTCTGTGGAAGATTTACTCCAAGGTATTTTTGTGAGGCTGTTGTGAATGGAGCTGTTTCTCTGCCTTCTTCCCCCGCATGTTTGGAATTACTCTGTGGGAAGGCTATTTGTTCTTGGATTTGATATACAGGAGAGCTACCTGCTTCTCTGCATTACTATTGCATGCCGCCACATTGCTGAAAGTCACTATTGGGTCTATAACTTTTCTGGTGGAGTTTGAAGGTCTTTTCTGTGCATCCTATTGTCTTCAAGTAAGGATTATTGGATTTCTTTCTTTCCTATCTGTATCCTCTTTATCTCCCCCTTGTGTCTTGTGGTTCTAGCTAAGACTTCACACACCATATTGAATAGAAACAGAGAGAGTAGGTGTCCTTGTCTTGTTCTTGATCTTGATCTTGGTGACAATAGTAAGAATTTTTCTCCATTTAGCACGAGGTCAGCTTCAGATTCATCACATAAAGCCCTTGCATTAAAAAAACAAAAAACAAAACAGCAAGCAGGCATTACTATTCTATTATTTGACAAAAAAACACTTCAAGCCAAAACTAATCAGAAGAGTTGAAGAAAGACTTTTCATTCTGATCAGGTGAACAATTTTCAAAAAAGAGCATTACAATTCTCAACATCTATACATTGCATAAAACTAGAACCTGTCTCTCATCATGCACAAAAATTGATTCCAACTATATCCAAAACCTCATTTTAAAGCCTGAAAGTTGAAAGTGCTAGATGAAGTCAGGGAGTGTGCTACAACATACAGTAGGGCAAGGGCTTTACATATAGAACTCTGGTCGCTCAGGAACTAAAGCCAACAAGTGGCAAGCGGGACCTCATAAAACTAAGAAATCTCCCGTCCAGAAGAGCAAGTCATCTACTGAATCAGAGAAACGCTTTGCCAGCTATACATCTGACTGAGGATGAACATCTAGAAGACACAAAGATCTCAAAAAGTCAAAACATCAAGAAAATAAAAACGATCCAGAAAAAAAAGTCTACAGATCTTAACAAAGAATTCCCCAAAGAAGAAATAAAATGGCCAATTAAAAAATTAGAAAGTGATCAGTCTCATTAGTCATCAGGTAAAGACAAATCAAAACTACTTTGAAATGCTATCTCAGCCCAGTTGGAGTGGTTACTATCAAGAAATCAGATGACAACAAATTCTGGCAAAGATGTGAGGACCAAGCATCCTAGTCATTGTTGATGAGAGTGAAAACCGGTTCGGCCACTGTAAATATCAGCATGGCATCTCCTCAAAAATTTAGAAGTAGATTACTATATGAGTCAGCTATTCTGCTACAGAGCATATACCCAAAGGCCTCTTTATTCCACTAGACAGATGAGATAGTACATGGATATTGCTCATCCACACTCATTGCTGTTCTCTTCACAGCAAACAGCAAGTGGAATCAGTGCAGATGTCCATCAACAGATAAATGGATAATGAAAATGTGGTACATACACAGAATAGAATTTTATTCAACAGTAAAAGAATTAAATTACAGATGTCAGTACAAAAAAACATAGCTCTCACCTTAAAGAGGATAAAAGATAGTTTATTCTGGAGCCATTTTTAAGTGACCATGGCTCAGGAACACAGACTTAGGTTACCCCAAATTCCATGTTCCAATGTGGAAGCAGATTCATGAAGTTTTATAGTTTTATAGAACAAAGAAAGTCATACATCAAGGCAAGTTTAAAATACATCGGTGGGCATATCAGAGAGGTGGTTACAGCAAGATGAGGGAAGGTTTCCTGTAGGGTTCAGATGTCATCTGATGACATCCTTAGATAGGGGATGGTAGAAGCTAGTGATCTGCTAAGTTAAAATATTCCAAAGGCTTTTATCTATTAATCATAGAATGGTAGTTCTGATACAGAGGTGGGCAACTAATGGCTTTTCCAAGGGATGAAAACTAGCTGAAAATTAGGAAATTAGCATTTGGACCTGTAATGTTCCAATCTTTCTCCAGTACTGTGATTCTAATAAATCAGTCTAAGCAGACACAGCTTCTTTCCAGGCATTTTTGTTTGCACAGACAAATGGATTGAATTATAAAACCCTGTATTCAGTGAGATAATGCAGACACTCAAAATCAATATACCGTGTTCTCCATCAAGAGTGGATCCTAGCTTTGAATCCCCGAGTGTGTGTTTAACTTAGGGTACCTAGAGAAGCCAGGAAACTAGAAATAAGTCAGTGTGAGGGATGGGGTACAGTGAAACATGGGTAATACGTAAGTAGAGATGGGGAACATTGAGTTGAAAGGTTTAAGGAGGCAGGGGATGAGAATAAAGAAGATGGGGTGGGCTGTCCAAAATGAAGAGGAACATGATAGAAACCTAATATCTTGTAATCAAAATTAAAACCATAATTTATGTTTTAAAAGTTGGAAGGGAGATACCTGGAAGAGATGGGAAAAGCTGCTCCCAGAAGACACAGGTTATTAACTAAAAACCCCAGTAGCAGGGATGGGATAGCTGTTTACTTAGTTGTTGATCATGAATGCTACAGAGGTATCTTCTGTGTTTTTTTTTTTTTTTTTGGTTTTTCGAGACAGGGTTTCTCTGTGTAGCTTTGCGCCTTTCCTGGAACTCACTTGGTAGCCCAGGCTGGCCTCGAACTCACAGAGATCCGCCTGGCTCTGCCTCCCGAGTGCTGGGATTAAAGGCGTGCGCCACCACCGCCCGGCTCTTCTGTGTTTTGTTTGGTTGCTTGTCAGAACTAGATGGTAAGACTCTATCACTGAGGACACCACACATGTTGGGTGCACGATTTAGGGAAATCAAGCTGGAACTGAGGTTGAAATGTCATCTCTGTCAGCTAGCTTTCAAGGTCTACGGAGGTCTATGCAGAATGATGGGTGAGAAAAGGCATCAATGGTCTTAGCCATCTATGAATCCCTCAATCTATGAAACTAATTTACCAAGCAAGATACGCTTGCTTGTGCGATTGTGACATCTCTTCAAGACATTAATCATTTGCATTCTGACTGGATCTAGGACCTGCTTCATAGGAGGGAGTACATTCCTGGTCCAGTAAACATTGTGAAAAACAAACAGAAAAACACAGACAAAAAACAAAACCCAAACCATAGTGGGGAAGATCGTAGGTTGTAGGGGAGCAACTGAATACTGATATATAGCTAAATTGGCATAGCACCATGCCACCTTCTGTGGTGATATTTTATTTGTGCTTTAATAAATAAGCTTGCCTGGAGATCAGAGGAAAAAGCCAGCCACAACACAGAAGTCATGCAATGTTAGCACACGCCTTTAATCCTATCAGTTGGCAGGCAGGATCTCTGTGTGTTCAAGTCCACACTGGAAACAGAGCCAGGTGTGGTGGCACACACCTTAAATTCCAAAACTAGTTAACCATGGAGGTCTGTATAGACAGACAGGAAGTAACAGAGCTGGGAAGAAAGAGGAAGTGATGTAGCTGAATGGAGAGAGCAAATCAGATGGCAGAACAGCAAGGCATATAGGCGTGGGTAAACAGGAAGTTGTGGCATTTGGAAGCTGCAGAGTTGGTGAGGTAAGGTTGGCTGGTGGCTCTCCCTATTTCTCTGATCTCTCTTTACCCCTATATTTGGCTCCATGTTTTTTTATTTAATAAATTTATTTAGAAATTCATCTACAACCTTCTAAGTATTTATGTTTGTACTCATAACTAAACGCTACCCTTAGACGTAATCAGAGAAACCCCTCTTTCCAGAGAATGCAGAGATTCAAGGCTACACAAGGTACTCAGACTAACAGATGGATAAGTACTCAGCCCTAAACAAGATATTTATATCATTTACTCTAAGGCCCGGGGAACACTGAAAAAAAAATAGGGTGGACAGAATGTAAGGTCTAGATAATGAGAAGAGCTGTGAAATGTCATCTCTCGAGCAGAACACAGCCATTGCAATCATGGACTTACAATCACTGTGGATGTCTGTACTAGGTCTGCACAAGAATGGGCCCATCAGCAGTCAGGTACGGATAAAACAGGACCTTGGGGGCCCTGCCCCTCACTGCTAAACTATTTGATATTAATAAATTCAGCAAGCAGGGCAATCATTGCCTTCATCTGAATACTTTCTGATGACCCTACCACGCTCCATAAGAGAGTTTGTAATCCAATAGTTGCAAAAATGGTCCTGATTAAGGCAAATGGGTCACAAAACAAACCCAACAGCTGTGAATCTGAGAAAGGACGTGGAAGGGATGAGAGTTTGACAGAAATGGAGGAGGGGAATATGAGAGGCAGAAGAATAATCAGAATACATTATAGGAAACTGTCAAATACAAAATGAATACAAATGAGAAAATTTCAACATTTATTTATTTGTATGTGTGTATGTATGTATGTATGTATGTATGTATGTATGTATGTATGGGGGATTATGTGAGTGCAATGAGTATGCATGTATGTATGTGTGTAGGTAGGTGGAGGGTATTCGAGTACAATCTGTATGTATGTGTGGGGGGCGGGTATGGGGGGCAAGAAGGTAGTTCAGCTCAACATGACTAAGAAGAACCTAGAGTTTGTTCAAACTTAGGGAGTCTGACCCCGAGTAGTTTATTTTAGGCATATTTAAGTATAGCACAATTTGGCGAAAGCTCTCCTGGTGATAATTAACTCAGTCTTGTGTGCACAATAAAACACAAGTAAGCTAAATAAAGATCTGATGTGACTACATCGAAACTCTTTATAAAGTACATATGACTCTTTTCATAAAGATGGGTTCTGTAGGTTAATTGAGAAAAACAAAGCTTTTGATGAGGGTCTAGGGGAGCATCCTATATGGTCTCAGCCACACAGATAGTGCAAAGGTCACTAGGCTAGTAACCACATCTGCTCCCAGCCTTCTGGCTGGTTAACAGGTTATACATCCCTTTCTTTGAAGGGATGCTCCTGTGCATATAACATTCTAGGTTCCCCTAGTGTTTCTCTGTGAGCACAAGGACCTCCATGCCTCCTACACAGATACCACCTTTGTTATGTTGAAATACATTCATTTAATCCCTAGTCTCTCCAAGGATTTTATCAAGAAGAGATACTGGATTTTGTCAAAAGTCTTTTGTACATCTGTTAAGATGATCACATGGTTTCTAACCTTGAGTCTATCTATGCACTGAACTATATTTATTGAATTACATGTATTGCACCATACCTACAGCCCTGTAATAAAACCAACTTGATCAGAAAGAATGGGCTCTTTTGTAGCATGAATCTTAAGGGTCTTATTAATAAAATCAAACCTGAGGCCAGGTATTGGGGTGAATGCTGGAAGATCAGAGAAGCAGAACAAACCACAGCTACCTCACCTCACCAGTTCCTCAGTTGATCCTGTTTTCTCAGACTGGAAGCCTCTGAGTCCTCATCCAAACGAATCCCAGCTGAACTGTTGCTCAAAAGCCTGAAAGCTTAACCAGCCAAATGCTTCTAGTTTTTGGTCCTCACGCCTTATATACCTTTCTGCTTTCTACCATTACTCCCTGGGATTAAAGGTGTGAGTCACCATGCCTGGCTGTATCCTTGAACACACAGAGATCCAGGTAGATATCTGCCTCTGGAATGCTAGGATTAAAGGTGTGTGCTACCACTGCCTAACCTCTATGTTTAATATTGTGGCTGTTCTGTCTCTGACCCCAGATAAGTTTATTAGGGTACACAATATTTTGGGGAACACAATACCACCACACTCTTTGATGTGTTCTTGAACTCAGTTTACAATTGAGAATTTTTGCATCTATGTTCATCAGAGAGAGTGACTGATACATTTATTTTATTGTCGTATCTGTATCTGATTTTAGTGTCTTCTGAACTTTGAGATTCCTTTTTCAGTTTCTGCAAAAATTGCATTGGAATTTCAATGGCGATTGTGTTGAATGACAGATTTTTTTTTTTTAATAGGATAGCCATTTTCTCAGTATTAATCTTACCAATCCACGAACATGGGAGGTCTATCTATCTTCTAAATGAATCTTCTTCAATTTCTGAGTGTCTTAAAGTTTTCATTGTACATGCCTTTCATTTCCTTGGTTAACTTATTCCAAGATTTTTTTTTTTTTTTTGATTGTTGTGAATGACTGTTTCCTTGATTTCTTCCTCAGCACATTTAAAGTTGGTATGCAGGAAGGCTACCGCATCTTGTGTGTTAATCTTGTGTCCCGCCACATGGCTGAACTGAGTGTGTTTATCATCTGAAAGACTGTCCTAGTAGGCTCTTCGGGATAATTTGTGGTTAGTATCATCTCATCTGCAATAATCTTTCTTATGTGTCTACCCTCCATGTCCTTCTCTTGTCGTATTGTTCCAGCTAAGACTTCAAGCACTATATTGAACAGGAATGGAGAGAGTGGACATCTTTGCCTTGTTCCTGACTCGTGGAAATGCTTTGAGGAGTTTTTTTTTTTTTGCTCCCCTCCCCCATTTTGCATGATGCTTGCTGTGGGCTTGTTATGTATCACTTTTATGATGTTGAGATATGTGCCATTTTTCTAGATTCTACGTGGCTTTTATTATGAAGGGATGTTGGATTGTGCAAAAGGCTTTTTTGTCTATCTAATGAGATGATCATGTGGTTTCTGTCATTGACTCTATTTATCTGGCTATTACATGCACTAATTTATGTATATTGAACTACTTCTGCATCTCTGGAATGAAGCCAGCTTGCTCACAGTGTATGATCTTTTGTATGTGTTCATGAATTTACTTTGCAAGTATTTCAATGAAAATTTTTGTGTCTATATTCATCTGGGGAGTTTGACCTATATCTCATCTCTTTGTAGGTTTTGTTTTTTCATTAGCACACATGAAGTTAGTTCTGTTTCCATCAATCCCTATTGGTATTTATCCTAAGGAAATAAATGTTGTTTTTCTCTACCAGAGTTTCTACACAATGCATAAATTAGTTTCCACTATAACTCCTCATACCAAAGGTGCTTAAGCAACAACCATAGTCTAATAGAGATGGATAGTAACTAGACAGTAAGTAGATTACTTCAATGTTGCAAGCTGCAGGAAAATGGAATTCAACTACTATTACAAAAGCTACTACTTGGAAAAGTCAAGGACTTTTCCGAAGGTCAAGCCATGGCTTAAGGAGTCTTGGTGATATTTTAGCTTTTGTATATATTAGCTGATACCTATAATGATTTACTTGTATGCTATGTGTGCTTCCAAGAACTCCTAACAGTATTTATCTAAAATGCCTATCAAGCATCCAAAGCCAAACGATCTCATGAACTAAGGTAATATCCTTATGGAAACAACGCCTGTCTCTTAGGTCAGGCGGATAGCTTTATTTCTTGTGCAATTTAAACTGAGACCCTCCTTTCTTATACAGCCTTAGTGGTATTTATACTAACAGTACAGACTCCTAACATTTAACCTAACCACTTCTAGGAATGTAGACTGAGCACATAAATTCCATTTTTTCTGATATATTAACTGACTTTAGCTCTCAATTGACCTCCTCTTTTACCACTCCCCTTTTGGGTTGTAAAAGAAAGCCTGATGGTCACTGCCTGAGGAAAACAGCCTTTACAGGGTCTGCCTTTATGCCCCTGTAAGAATTCAAGCCTGGTGATCTTGCTTTGGCTAGAGCACTGCTATTGCATGTGTATATATAACTGCAAACCTCAGAGACTGAGAGAGGATTTGGAGGATTTTGACTGGAGAACCAGATGGAGAATGAGATGGAAGATAAGGAAGAGCCAGATGGGGAAGAATGAGATGGGTAAGAACAAGATGAGAAAGACCAAGATGGGGCAGAACTAAGATGAGAGAATTAAGATAGAACTTAGAGGGGACAGCAGATAAAGGTAGTGAGAAATCAGACAAGAAAGGAGCTAGTCTTGAGTACAGAACTGTAGCTGTGTAGATAGAATCTTATTCCAGAGGAATAAAGTAAATGGACTAAGTAAGAGCTTGGTGTACTCGGATTCTTTTCCCCAAAATCATTCTCGCCATTTGTAGCTTCTCTTCTGGGTCCCTGGGAATATTATTAAGGCAGGTCCTTAATAATATTTAAGAATTCGGTAAAAATTATAAATATTTTTACATATAATTATAGGTATAATTAAAGAAGTAATCCTTTGCATTTCAATGGTATAACACAAGAGAAGTTTCGTGTGTGTGTGTGTGTGTGTGTGTGTGTGTGTGTGTGTGTGTATTCTAAAATGGTCATCTGGTCATCTGTCCTTGAAGTTTGAAGACTTAAGGTCCTGTTTTTTTGTGTTTCCATATTTTCAGCATGTGACTTTCAATGTCTCTATATTTGTCTGCACCAAAATGTTGTGGGGTAGCCACCAAAGAAGACTGTTTGGACATGGGTTTCAGCCAATAGGAAGTCTTTATTAACCAGCTGGTGGTTAATAGAATGGATGTTTGGGATCTCAGTGTAGTCCCAACCCTTTCTCAGGGTGAGCTCTTAAGCACAAAAGCTTTGTTCTACGTTGACATACTTCAGTTTATCAAGGACAATTAGTCAGAAGTGGAACTACAGAAGTTAAAAGCAAGGTTAGTACATTTAGAGACTTTCCTAGAATTATGGACTTTGATGGACTAGGCCTTTGTTTTAGTTTTGGCCGGTGGTGTTGTCTACGTGTTGAACTTTACAGCCTGAATGGTACTTTCATCATGGAGTCAGTTGTGCTGAAGTCTCAAGGCCTGTTATAAACCAGAAGAGGAAGAGAGTTAGTCAGCTTTCCTTGGAGATGTACCCATCACTCATCTTCATGTTCTCTTGCATCTGAAGCTGCTGATATCTGTTCTAAATGCCTCCTTGGGATGAGGACAGCAGACATTTGGCTAGCTGTCTCTGTCACACACCAAGATGAATTGGCTCTGTTTTCTTTTTTTTACCCCCTTATAAGTATTGAGTCCTAGGACTCATGAAGACCACATTAGGCTATGCAGAGATCAACAGAACTGCTTGCTTCACATCTCCTCATAGGGAATATCAAAGGCACCCCAATTTAGTATATCCCCCGTTTTACCTCTTCTGTCTGCCATGCCCAGCCCTAAGCTGCCAACTCTCTCTTCTCCCTTCCTCCCACATTAGTCAAGAGCACCATCCATTAATCCTCGGACTTGCTCTTGACTTGTTTTCTTCTTTCCCCCCCTGAATTTAATGCATTTGCAAACATTAATTTTACTTCCAAAATATATTTATTTGGAGTGTTCCTACTTGTATCTTTTCTGCCACTCATCCAGCCTAAGCTCCCATCAATTATGATATCAATTATGATCAATAATACTTAGTATAGCCCCCTGCTACCTTCACATTGGCAGTAGTGGAGGAGACACAACCAGATCCTACCAGATGTTGCCTGAGTAGTTGAGCCTCTCATCAGGTTATGACGGGGAGCTCACCAGAGATGAGCACTCAGACACAGTGTATAGCCAATTGGAAGTCTTTATTCTAGTTGTATTCGGGGACCTAGGTGTGGCCCTGAATGTCCAGAACACGGGGTTTTTAAGGACAGAGACCTCGTCCAGGCATCTTGCTCAGCAGCTGCAAGGGGGAGGGGAAGCTTTGCAGAGTGAGCAGTTTGAAGCAAGCAGTTTTAACAGAAGCTGAGATAAGAGGCTAGCTGGAGGAGGTTCCACACAAGCAGGCAGTTTTGACAAAGGCTAAGGTAAGTTAGCTGGGACAGCCTGACCTTTGGTCCCAAGATAGAGTTGGGTAGTTTTCCATGGGATTTTCCATCAAGGAGATCAGATTTTAGTTAAACCTAGGGACAGCCTCAGCAAGAATACAAGATGGAGGAACCTCTGCCCTGTCCCGCCCCCCCTACCTCCCCCCCCCCGCCCCGTCCCCCCCCTCCCGTCCCCCGCCCCCAGCCCATCACCAGGTAAAGACGAGATCTTGGCTTTAACATAGAATAGGATTTCGGGATGAGTCAGTCTGAAACAGGCCTGGGATTATTAAATATTGATAAGGCAGAGCTTGTCATGCTTTAGATTTGCTGGGGGTGGAGAGTGGAAAGAGAAATGTCTTAGCAATAGCTATTGGTTATACACATGATTTTGTTGCTTGTGAAGTCATAATGCTCAAATATATTTTGCAGCCAAGTTCAAGTATTAAACAAAGTTTAAAATTTAAGTAAAAATACACAAGGGGGTGACTTGCTTGATTTTCTTATCTTAAGGAACTTTGTTTTGTAAATGAAACTGCAAAGTACTTTATGAGGTGTGTGGTTCAGACGTAGTCATGAGAGGGTGCCCTGATAAGGTTAAGCTCAAAGGTCACATACCTTCTGGCCCTACACAAGCGTGTTTGTTGTCTTTAACCATGTTTGAAATACCTTCGAAAATAGACATCATCTCTGTGTAGACAAGCTTCACTGATTTTGACAGCTGTATTGAGGTCCTCGACTCTCAACCACCAGGAAGTGGAAACCCAATACAGAGTGAAAAGCCCTTTTGTCTTTCTCTTGTCTACTTAACTCTGTCTTTCTATCCCACCACACAGAGCAAGAGAGTTTCCTAAAATTTTTATCACATTAATCTGTTGCTTAAAATTCCTAATGACGTTTTATTGAAACGAGAATGAATTCTGAACACCCCAACATGTGCTGTCAGGGTCAGTAGGTTTACAGTCCTATCTAACCCTTGACCTTTATCCAGAGTCCTTACCCTGTCACCCTGAGATTTACGTCCTGGAGTACTTCTAGCACTTTCTTCTTATAGGCCCTACTCACACCTTTTTCTTCTCCTGTTCGGTAGTCATTTTCATTTTTATCGATTCCTACCCATTCTCTCACACATTAGCTGAATGGCCACATCTCTAGAGAGTACTTTCATGACCCTCCCAGTCTAACTTGGGTCCCCTATGACTCTCTCTTAGCACCTTTCATAGGCCTTCTTCATTTGTAATAATGCATTTTATAATTTTATATTTATTTGTGCAGTACCTATTTATCATTTTCTTCATTAGACTGTAAATTTCACAGAGGCAGAAATCATGCTTTTTCCCTCAAGTCTCATACCAGCACTTAGTTTGAAAACTGGTACCTTGTGAGTACTTAAAACATTACTATTCAAAGAATGAATGGATGCGCAGATTACAAGAATCTACTGGAAAGCCTGGAGTTAGGCTTAAATTCTGAATTGTGTAACGATGAAAAAGAATTGAGTTTGAAAACTTCTAGTTTTCTCCAATAGAATGACACTGGGATGTCAGCCACTCCAGGACAAGCCTCATGTTCAGTAGTAGTTGACCAATGTTTAATTGGATTCTATAGTTTTTGTGTACTTTTATCTGATTGCAGTTTGGTAGGTTTGTGTGTGTGTGTGTGTGTGTGTTTGGAAGGGGTTATTTTTTCTTGGTTTTGTTATGTATTGGGATTTTGTTTGCTTTTTTGACAAAGAAGTTAAAGTTTGGTGGGTAGGAAGGGGGAGACAATCTGGAAAGTCTTGGGTGAGGGGAAGAATATGAATACAATATATTTAAATTTAAAAATTGTTTTAAATAATAGAAAATTAAAAAAAAAGAAATCTTGATTCCAGTATCAGTGATCCTGCAACTGTCACAAGTAGGTTCAGTGTTTGTGGGGAAATGGTGTACATGTGTGGTGGAAGGCAGTAAAGGGATTTCACCAGATGACTATGGGAATGGCGTTTCGGGGTTTGGAGAGATTATGGTCACGTGGGCCTGCTGGCTGACAATGCAGAGCAGACAGCTTCCAGCTAAACTGGAGTAAAAGACATCATTGGAGAGTTCAGTATAGTCAATTAAAATAGTCTTGACACATAGAAGCATTTTAAAGTGTTATTCCATGAAATGAAAAATGGTTTCAGGAAAGAAAAGATCACCCATAAAAGTCACAGGATCACGATTTATAGTCCAAAGAAAAACGAAAATGTAAGACCTAAGGTAGGAAGGACAAAGGAGTTTGGTTAAAAGAAATTCTACAAGTTTCTCTTGTATGCAAAATAGGCAGGAGTGGGTAGAGAGGTGGGGGGTCTCTGCAGCTGTCCCACAGGGAAGTGGATTGGGAAGAGGTGAGAAAGAAAACTTGGTTCAAATTGACTTTGTCAACTTGGTTCAAGACTTCTAGAGAGTCTTCATGCCAGGCGGTTTATTTTAGGCAATTTAAACACAGTAGAATTTGGAAAGGGTTTCTAGGCAACAATCATTCCAAATCCAAGTGCACAATAAAGCTTAATGTGTGACTACTTAGACACTCCTTTATGAAGTATATGTAACCATGAAGGTCTAGACTCTACTGTGGTCTCTGACTGAGACAGCACATAGGTCAGCAGGCCATAAAATACATGTGACATCTCTCTAAAGGTTGGCTTCTATTAACTGGGGACTAAAGATAATAGTCTAGAGAGGGAAGAGTCTGGGATAATCATTCTGGGGAATTAGGGCGAGGTCTGTCCCTAAGATAGCAAAAAGGTCACTAGGTCGTTAACATCCTCCTCCCTCACCTTTCAAGATGGAATGCAGGAATTTGATTTTATCTCCTCCATTGTGGAGGCAACCCTGTGTGTTTAACATTCCTGGTTTTCTTAGTGCTTCTCTGTGAGTACAATGATCTCATGCCCCCTACAAGAGAGGACTGTAAAAGGGAAGCCACCTAGACATGAAGCATCAAAATAGCTGGGCTTTTGTCTATGTGTAGATATAAAGGCTGTTAGAAGAAGTGAAGGCTGCTTTTTGACTAGGCTAGAGTGGGTTTAGACGCAACAGCAAACCAAGGCAGCCATCCCCTTGTATTATTTTGAAGGGAAATCAGTTTTGGTTCATTGGACTTATTACTGGAGTTTTTAGAGCCCAAGCCTGGGCCCTGACAGTTCTAACAAGATGACCGATCCACTGATTCTGGATATGCCAATTAGATAGTGATAGCAAAATAAGAAAATGTGGCCACCCTGGGAAGAGGAACAAATGGAGAGATCCAGTAACTCCCAAGTCCGACCTCAGGGTACTGCCATGAGGCTTAGGTTTAAACAGAGAGAACATGCTATGCAACAGCAGTTCTGGTCCAGGAGGTTCCTGTCCATCATCATCCTCCCAGCTCCAGTCTTTCCTGCAAGAAGGTCTGACAAGTGGTCCACACTGGTGAAACCTCCTCTTGGGAGACAAGTTCATCCTCTATCTGTCACCAAGCTCCAGCCTTTCTACTCTCTCAGCATGGGATATCTGGGGAGATGTTAATTCTTGTGGTCCCTTGTTTCAGTGGTTCCATAGGCAAAAGGAGAGACCAAGTTTCTCTCTTCAGAATCTTTGTTGCTACCAGAGTTGTTACAGTTTCATTTGGGTCTTTTGTGTAGTAGGAGTAGATAGCAAAAATGGATGAAATTGAAGTCCCCAGTAGAACACTGGGGACAAAAGACAGAGAATGGACAGCGAGAACAGATCCTGGTAGTAAAGTGGGTTCCAGGTTGGTGGCAGGAGAGGCAAGTTCATAGACTGACTCATGCAGGCAAAGCCAATCCCAAATGAACACTCCTGCTATTGATGAGATTTGCAAAAGCTCAGCAAGATATGTTTTAAATTTGTTTACTTTTGTTTTTGAGACACTGTAGCCCAGGTTGGCCCATGTTAAATATAACAAATATAAATAACAGCAGCTATCTGTCTACAAAGGAAAGCTGACACAATTCCCTTTAATGGAGTTTATTGAAATGAGAGGGCCTCAAGGCCATGATGGGGCCTCAAAAGGAAGGGAGAACATTAGACAGGAATAATTCAATAAAAGTATGATGAGGCCTTAAAGGGAAGGAGAGGCTTCCCTTTAAAGACTAGAAAGGAGCTTCCCTAAGGATGTGACTGGGGAGAGAAAGTCATGGGGTGGGGTGGAGGGGAGGGAGGGGAGGGACAGTATGGGGAGAGGCCAGAAGAGCCTCTTTTGAGAGCATCCTTCATCTCTGGACCAAATTCCCCAGGAATCTTCCCAAGGAGTCACAAATCAGCCCCCAGAACAAAGGGAAGGTCTGATTTTTTTTTTTTTAAATAAACTTTTAGGGGTGGTGTCTTCATTAGGGTTTCTGTTGCTGTGAAGAGATACCATGAACTGTGAAGAGATACCATGAACTCTTATACAGGAAAACATTTCATTGGGGTGACTTACAGTCCAGAGGTTTAGTCCATTATCATCATGGTGGCATTCAGATAGACATGGTGCTAGAGAAGGAGTCAGGAGTCCTACATCTTGATCTGCAGGCAACAGGAAGTGAACTGAATTAGGCATTGCTTGAGCATAGGAGACCTCAAAGCCCACCCACACAGTAACACACTTCCTCCAACAAGGGCACACCTACTTCAACAAGGCCACATCTCCTAATAGTGCCACTCCCTGTGAGCTTATGAGGGTCCATTATATTCAAACTACCATAGGTGATACAAACTTTTAGGGGTGGTAGGAAGTTTCACATCACATGATTTAGATAAGTATAACATACATGACAGGGAGCTTGGAGAGCTGGGTACCATAAAAGGAGAGATGTCAAGTCACAGCACAGATTGCTTCTTCACTGTCTGTCCCAGAGAAAGCTGCAGGGAGGTGTGGCCTGGTTCAGGCTGTGGGATTAGGCCTGAAGGCTCATGTTTTAACAGCCTGTAATTTATTGTGTAGTCTACACTATCTTCAAACTTTCAGCAATCCTCCTGTCTTAGCTTCCCAGTGCTGAAATTTTAGGTGTAAGCTACCCAGCAAAGAGTGTTTTTGTTTGTTTGTTTGGCTGGTTGGTTGGTTGTTATTGTTACTATTTTTTTTTTTTTTTTTGGTTTTTCGAGACAGAGTTTCTCCGTGTAGCTTTGCGCCTTTCCTGGATCTCACTCTGTAGACCAGGCTGGCCTCAAACTCACAGAGATCTGCCTGCCTCTGCCTCCCGAGTGCTGGGATTAAAGGCATGGGCCACCACCGCCCAGCGATTGTTACTATTTTTTGAGACAGAGTTTCACTAAATAGCCTTGGCTGGCCTGGAGCTCACTATATAGATCAGACTGACCTTGAATTCACAGAGATCCACTTGCGTTTGTCTCCCTGGTGCTGGGATTAGAGGCGTGGGCCACCATGCCCAGCCTAAGGACATTTTTTTTCTTTTTTTAAGAACTGTTTCTTCAGTGAATAACAATCCTTTGTCTTGTTTGACTTTCCCAGGAGTTCATGCACTCTGCACAGTCAGCACATCAGAAGACCACATCCTGCCTTTTCTCTAGGTCAACAGAGTGAGGACCATAGTGTGTTTTTTCTCAGGATTCAGAAGCCACAGTGGGAAGTACAGTCTTTCATCTAGCTCATTTAATGCGATTTTTTTTCCCTTTAAAAAAAAATGTCTCTGAGTAATGGCAGAAGCGACATCCATAAATTCTCACCAACATGACTGCCTAAACAATAGATGAAAAAGGATGACACCAAGTGACACACCAAAGTGGGGGCGGGAAAAGCCTATGAGGCCTCGATCCTACATCAAGAACTACAGACAACTAAGAAGAAATAGTCTTTTCCAGGGAAGAGCCCAACTGGTTATTCAATACCAAACGGTCAACCGTGAAAACATACATACAAGTAACATTGTACAGACTGAGAAGATTATATTTAGGAATATATATGTATGTACACATACAAATATGCACATAATAACAATTAATGAAAAAGAGGCCATGCTGTGGGATGTTCTGTATGCTGTGAATCTATGTTGCTCTGATTGGTTGATAAATAAAATGCTGATTGGCCAGTAGCCAGGCAGGAAGTACAGGTGGAATAAACAAAGAAGGAGAATTCTGGGAAGAAGAAGGCTGAGTCAGGAGACACCAGCCCGCCGTCCAGAGAGCAGCATGTAATGGCACACAGGTAAAGCCATGGAATACATGGCAACATATAGATTAACAGAAATGGGCTGAGTTTAAATGTAAGAGCTAGTCAGTGGTAGGCCTGAGCTAATGGCTGAGCAGTTTTAATTAACATAAGCCTCTGTGTGTTTACTTGGGTCTGAGCAGCTGTGAACTGGGTGGGACACAGGAAAACTTTAGCCATAAATGGTGCCCAACATGGGGTAAGAGTTTCCACCTGAAACCTGATAAAGATTTAAAAAAAAAAAAAAAAAAAAGATTCTAAAATGGAGCTAAAAACAGCTTCCTAGTTGTCTCTCTCAGGCCAGCTGAAGCCTGTGGGCTTGAGGACACAGGAAAACTTCAGCTACAAGGCCATGGATCTGAAACAGAGCAAGGAGTGGTACATGGGAGAATTGGAGGGGGGAAGGGGAAAGGAGAAATGATGTTATTGTAATCTCAAAATTAAAGAAAAATGTTTCTAATTGAAATAGAATTATAGCTCTTCCTGGATACCCTCCCTTAAGTTCCTCCCATGCCCCACCCAAAGATGATAGTTTATTGATTACATGTGTTACATAGACACACACATACATAGATGTGTGTGTTTAAACAAAACCTGCTGTGTACATCTTTTGAGTTGTTTGTATGTAGATGGTTTGAAGGCTGACCACTCAGGGAACGTCAAGGAAGAGAAGGCAGAAAGACTGTAAGAATGAGATATGAGAATACCAGGAAGCCACAATACTTGTGTGAGACAGTCTCTTACCGAACTGGCTGCATAAATAAGACCAGAACAATGGCAATATCAATGGATACCTCGATGTAGAAAAGGGAAATTTTCTCAGGGTCCCGCCCCTAGACAAAGAACTACAGGCAACTACTTCATGGGATTTGCAAAGAAGAGCAAGCTCTCTCATGTAGATGTAACCAACGGTCTTATAAAATAAGAAACACAGAGCCAATTCAGAGAAGAAAGCCAAGAGGTCAGAGCTAAGAGCCTCACCCTTCCTGATTCAGGGATCCTCTCCAGCCAAAAGAGCTCTCCGAAAAAGGACCTACTTCCTGTGTGTCTGTCTTTAAAGTCTTCCTGTTCTGCCTTCTCATTGGTTGTAAACACAAACATGTGACTGCCTCGTCACTGCCTGAATGTACCGCCCTCCAGGTCCTTAAAGGCGTGCGCCACCACCACCGCGCACTTGCTATGACTCTAATAGCTCTGACCCCCAGACAACTTTATTTATTAACATATAATTAAAATCACATTTCAGTACAAGTAAAATACCACCACACTCTCACATAATTCAACATGGGCCTCTTCCTTCTAATTAGCTTCTTGCCACTTGCTATGAATTAAAATACCAAAAATACCATTCAAGGTGCCCAAATTATCCAGTCCTTTATTTTGGTAACTTCAACTTAGCCTTTACAATGCCAGCTTCTCCTGACTGCTTAGGTCCTTTTGCCAAGGCCCCTGCAACTTTATTAAGCAAATTCAAAGTTCTATATAGATTTGAGTCATGTGATTTCATGAGGCAGAGAAAAGGGGAAAGCTTGGAGACCATTTGCAAGCAAACCAGCAGGAATCATCAAACACCAAAAGTTATTCTACCCATCTTGGTTTCTGTCCTGTGGTTGTGGCAAGATACTTGGATAAAAGGTACTCGAGGGAGAAAAAGGGTTATTTTAACTCGCAGTCCATCATGATGGGGAAGTCAAAAATCCGGTCCCATCACATCAACAACTGGGAGATGGGAATGAATGCAAGCTGCAATTTAGCATGCTGTCTCCACCTTACAGTCTAAGATCCTCTGTTCAAGGGATGGTCCCACTCACAGTGAGGGTGGTCTTCTCCCATCAGTAATATAATGAAGACAATCACACACAGGTGTGCCCAGAGGCCTATTTCCCAGACAATTACAGATTCAGTCAAGTTGACAACACTAATCATCACAAGAGCATGTTTTACTAATTTAATCCCTTTTATGTTTTTAAAAATAATTTCCACCTGTATTTATTTATTGGTGAGGGACGCTTATGTGCCACGGCGTATGTGTAGAGGTCAGAGGACAAATCGATTTGTCACAGACGCGTGGACTTTAGTAGACCCCCAGCCCTTAGCACAACTGACTCCATGATGGAAGTACTACTCAGGCTATAAGTCGGCGCATGGAGAGCACTGTCGGGGTGGTGGTCTGGGCTTGACCCTGAAGCACTGCCCCTGGTAGGCAGCAGGTAAATGCTAGGTCCCCCACAACCCCCCTTCCCTCCCCCCGCCGCTCTGAGGGGAGCATGGCAGAGGGGGATCCCTTAAGCCCTGGAATGCGTATGTGCTCGCTCTCTTGGCTACCTCGTGGTCTTGGATGCTGGTGTTGCAGAGGAAGGCAGAGTTCTCCAGAGAACCGCACTGGCCCGCGCCCCACCCCTCCTGGATCCTGTGACCAACTCCCTTATGCATGTTGTGAGTTAACCCAGAATAAATCCCTTTTGATTGATTATCAGACAGACTCGGTGGAACTGCCACTTTACAGCACCACCTGCCAAAATGAAAACAAAGACCTAATCCATCAAAGTCCAGAGTTCTGGGAAAGTCTCTAAATGGACTAACCTCACCTCTGGCTAACTGTTCATGTTAACTGAAGCCTGTCAACAAAGGACGTGGTTTTTGTGCTTAAACAGTCACCTTGAGAAAGGCTTGGTGCTGCACTGGGATCCCGGACACCCAGGGTAGTCACCGGCCGGCGAATAAAGACTTTCAGTTGGCTTACCCCATGTCCGAGCTGTCTTCTCTGGTGGAAACCCCACAACAGCTCTTTCTCTCAGTGTCCAGCTGCTGTGACATGGACAGACTAAGGACTGCGAGCATTCCTGAGACTGTCTTTTCCTGCACTGTTTTTCATTTTTTTGATGCCTTGCAATCCAATCATGTTTCAATTTTTAATGAGCTTTTCCTTTCCCATTAGAAGAAAGTATGTGACAAAGGTAAATGTTGTAAACAGTGATCTGTATTATCCAGGTGTGTGTGTGTGTGTGTGTGTGTGTGTGTGTGTGTGTGTGTGTCTCCGTGTGTGTGTGTGTGTGTGTGTGTGTGAGCACAGGCAGGGATTTACAGCTGTGTTTTCCTGCAAACATATGTTCTTAGGAAGAACACACCCAGCTGTTTGTGCTCACACTGGAGAGTCTCTTGGGGGTGAGGTGGGTGGAGATGGATCATGAGTAATACTTATTTTCTGCTTAAAGCTTTTTAAAATGTTAATTCTTTAAGAATTTCACATAATGTATCTTGATCAAATTCACCCCCCCTTCCCAGATCTAAGCTGATTCCCCATCCTCCTGATGATATCTTTTCTTCTCCCCCCCCCCCCCCCCCGCCCTTTTTTTAG